TATGTATGTGTTGCTCACTATTATTTTTTATTAGACTTACAAACTTAGTTTCAGTGATGTCATATTGTTCTTTAATTTAGCCGGAATAGCAAGCTGCTTTCGATCATCTGTACACGTGCCATTTAATTTGTGTATTACACAAATCTTTCCACGAAACAGACAGTTTTAAGTGCAAAAGGTGCGAAAGTGCAGAATCACTCCAGCATCCCCTTAAAGCGACTCGCTTTACCGATCGACAGTTCCGGGCTGCGTTCGCCTCTCGCGGGAGGAAAAAGAAAGAAAGGCAGAAAAAAAAGGAGTCAGGAGCGCCGCGTAGAATCGTTTCAAACGCGCGACGAATCCCGAAATTCCTCTCCCCTCCCCGAGCGCGCGTTCCTATCGCCGGGGCGGAATTGACCAGAATCGACCAATCGCGGCCGCGGACTCGATCGGCCGATTGAGAACGGAGTCGTCCGGTGAAATCGGCCCTGAATCCGACGCGAGAGAATTCTCTCTCTCTCTCCCTCCCTCTCTCTCTCTCTCTCTCTCTCTCTCAGTTTCGCGCGACGATCGAGAATTAAATGAAGATCCGCCGACGCGACGCAACCCCACCCCGCGCCGCCCACCCCCCACCCCTTCCCCCAGACGTCGGGGACGGACTGGTGAAAATTCGGGAGTTTTACCCAAGCGCTCTCCCGCTAGCGGCTTTTAACAACAACGCGCGCGCCGGTGGCAGCACTGTGCGCGATCGCTAATTTGCGTTGAACGACACGTATTTCGGTGCGCGGCCCGTGAACTGCGTATAATCCGCGCGTACACATCCCGCGCGGCGTGCCACGAGCGACGACGGGCCCAGGCGGACGAGGACCGCGCGCAGGAAGCGCCGAGTGGCCGTTTTATCACAGAGAAGGTACGTACCGCGCCGCGCGGCCGTTCCGCTTCCCCGTACGCTCTCCGCGGCAGGGTGAATCCGGGCCAACCGTCGTTCGATAAACAATAGGGAGCGCGCGGAGAGAAAGAGAGAGAGAGCGAGCGCGAGAGAAAGAGAGAGAGGAGAGCGGGAACGGGAGGGACGCGCCGCGCCGCCCGTCCGCCCGTCCGATCTCGATACGATGCGAGTCGAGCGCGATACGCGCTCGCAAAGATGGTCGCCCGTGCGACCTCATCTGTCAAGTGACGAGGACGATTCTCGCGCGCCGTGCGCTACCGCTATGCGCCGTTAGCGGGCGGAGCGTGGGACAGAGCGAGAGAGCGACACCACCGCGAAACGTCTCGGCCGCCCGGCCGCCAAATTTCAGGTAAACACCCCCGCGGGGGGACACGCGGGGGTCGGTTTCGGCGGCTCGCGCGCCCGCTCCCATATGCGCGAGCGGCCCGAGCGCTCGTCGGCGCCGCGGCGGCCGCGCGAGTCCGCGTCCCGGCGCGGCGAGGTCGCGCGGCACTCCCTCGGAGGACCCGTCGGGATCCGACCTCTCCCCCACCCCCACCCCCCACCCCTAACCCCCGGGGAGTGTCGTGTTTACAAGCGCCAGTTGTTCGGCGGAGTCTCGCGTCCTCGGCGCCCCGTACCTGGGATTGTTTGTTTGCCCCGTCCCGCCGACGTGGACGCGGTTGCCCGGACGTTACCTCCGACGACGTGGTTGACGCTGACAGCCGGGCGGTGGGTTTGCAGGTAATCGGCAGACGCAGACGTTCAATACGCTGGCTATGAAAATGAAGATCCCAAACGGCGGGCCTGGAAACGGGACTTATTACGGGCAGGAGACGGGCATCACCTCCTATGTGGACAACAACAGCGACACGGAGGCGGAGGTGCAGGCGATAGGCGACGGCGACTTCTCCGAGTACCTCTGGATGGAGAACGAGGAGGAGTTTGACAAGCAGGTACCTCGGGCTCGCGGAGATATATGTAGATATAAGGCTCGGCGCTCCATTGTTCCTCGTCCCGCTACTCGGCGCTTCCGTTCTGGCACCAGGTGCTCCAGCAGCTGGAGGAGGAGGAGCTGATGGAGGAGTGTCTAGAGGCGATGCTGGAGGAGGAGAGGCAGCACCAGAGGAATATGAGCTCCACCGCTTGGTCCACGGCTACCGGCACTCCCGACAGCAACGCCGCCGAGCTCTGTCAACAGCTGAGCGGTCTGAGGATGCAGGACGATCTCGCTAAGCAGGTATCTGCAACAAGAAAATCATTACGTCTTTCCTTTCAGCGAGAGAGAGAGAGAGGCTTCTTATTCAAACGTCCGTAACCATCACCGTGTCACTCATGTATGTGTGAATTTTTTAGAGCACGCTAAACCCGGACGCGGCTGAATTTGTTCCGGCGTGCAAGGCGACTGTGGTACCACCTGTAAGTACATCGTCGGGAACCACAGTCACCACGGAACCGTCGTAGAAATCTTCTGTGTATTTTCTCTCTTGTCCGTTCTCCGTATAAGTCACGTATAAAATCGGGCTACACGTAATAGTTAGAATTTAATATTTCCAATCCGACAGTCGTGTTAAGCGGATCATCGTGTTAGATGTTCAATGACTGTGACTGTAGGTACAAAGGTAAAGAGAGAGAGAGAGAGAGAAAGAGAGCTGTGCGTTATACGCGTGGTCCGAAACATCAGTTACACAATCAGAATTGGAACGAAAGCGCGGTATCCCGGAATTTTTTATAGACGAGGAACACCGAGACGTGATATCGCGGCGCGATAATTGTACACTTCCTTCTTCTTTTTTCGCCGGAAAAGAAAACCAACGAACAATCGTGTTTAACAAATCACTCGTTCGAAGAAAATTTGCACTTTGTCTTTCTTGTTCGACGCCGTCTATATCGAGGAGCGTTTCTCGCAGAGGCAAATATTTTTAGCATTTTCAATCTTTGTATAATTTGTATAAATTGATATCATCATTATACGTCTACGGAAATAACCCGCTGTTCACATTGAACTGAATGGAGGGGACAGAATGCACTGAATGGTTTAGGGAAGGACTTTCATAAGTTTATGAAATATGTATATGAGCAGGAAACATAGATATGCATATATTATTCTGTAAATTATGTTTATATTTTATATGTAATATATGCATTATATGTATATCATTATATGCATATAACATATATTACTATATAATAACGTATATGTATATATAAGATACATATATTATATATTGGATATATAATATAAGTATTAAATATACAGTCATCCCTCGATTTACACGGTACTTTTTATATATGGCTTTTCTTTTTGCGCGGCAAAAATTTTCCCGTTTACGCGAAATACGAAACCCAAGTCAATCCAGGCACAAGCACTAGAGACATGACCGTACATTGTAGCCGTGGGGTTTTTTCTTACGAGTTTTATTTGTACCGGCAGGCTCCGTTTGCGCGATTCTCAACCGCGTAAGGAACCACGAGTATTCCGCGTAAATCGAGGGACAAGTATATATTATATACATATATTCTATGGTCCATATTTTGAATCCTCTTTTAGAGATGACTTTTAGCCCTGTGCTAACACGAGTGATTAGTGATGTATCCTCGTCTCGCATATTTTCCCGTTAAGGGAAGTGTCAAAAATTGAGCGCTTCAAGTTGAAGCGCCTAGTGTTGGATTCAATGTTTAATCAAGATCCAGCATAAATTTCAAGGAATTTTTAGAAATACCACGCTGATATAACCTAACGGTTGAAAAGTGTAAGCTTTAAAACAAATATAATATGATTCGTCTTTTTTTTTCGTCGCTAAAAGTGCCACTAGAATTGCTTTTGAAGGACTCGCATTGGCTGAAAGGATCTTTCGCGGGCACTTTTATCGATAGAAAAAGGATTCGGAATATGGGCCTACATGTCTCAATCGGATCTTATCATTCTTGAAGTGTGTATGTAAACCATTTTACCTTTTACGATATTTACTCTTCATCAAGCTGTAAAACCTTTCGCGCGCACATACGGGGGTAGAACTTTTTACAGTCTGAGAGAAAGTTTTACAGCTTGGCATCCATCTGTCCAATGGAAACCCTTCTTGAGAGTTCCTTTTGTAATACTTATAGTAGAGAATGATGAGATGTTTACAGAATCATTAGCGGGGCATACCTCGCTCGACGCGAGGTGCACTGTACACGGATTATATAGAGCAGCAGAGTCACGAGGACAGCACGTTATTTTTTAACGAATATTTTTGAATAGATGAATCGGCATAAAAACAATCGCGAGCCTATACGTAATCGGGGGGGGGGGGGGGGAAAGTCAGAGCGTTATGTTGTACAAATGTATCGTCTTAATTAGAAATTTGCGTGAGAATGCACTACCTGAGAAACGCTATCGTCGAGTCCTGCTTCGGCATTCATCCAACAAACTTAAGATCTCAAGTGAAAGTCTTACTTAGGCTGTGAGGGACTCTTTTTACGACTCTTCTTCTTCTTTTAGTGACGCTGAAAATCAGGACACCGCTTACTTATTTTTTAAACCGGTTATTTCCGCAAGAGGTTAGTAATATTAATATCTCGAAATTTTAGAAGGTCTAGTAGGTCGTAGAATGTAACCACGATGAAACATGAAAATAGGGTAAATGGTGAATGTACTTCAAATCCGCTTGAATGGCAAGAAGATTGATTTGACTTTTGATGCAGCATAATATATCTATATATAAATATCTATATATATACTCGTTATTTATATAAAAGTGGATATCACATCACATATATTTGTACAACGTTTGATAGTACCTGTTTATTCCTTCTTTTTTTTTTAACGTCTTTTGAACAACTCGTTTCTCGAAACAAAAGTGCTTTCTGAGTTGCATTGTTTCATGATGAATTCTATTTAATTAATAGAGTTTTATCGATTGGATAAAATTTACAAAGTCAAACTTTTTGCGATCCAAGATTCTACTAGTGATTCAAACGCATTCGTGCTTACTTAACGGTGATATCTGCCATTCTTTTTTAATAATTACAAATAAGTGTACAAGTTTTAATAAGATACATTGAGATATCTATATATTGTTATGTGTTTGCATTCTATATACTTTATGTATGGTAAACGTGCACATTAGTCACCTGGTTTTGACATGAAATGTAGAAACTGTGATTATCAAAACAGCGTTACTAAGTTTACTGAATACTATTCAGGTATAAGACATCGTATATTAGTCTCTTGCAATATATTTGATCTGAAATTGCTTTTCCCACCATATTGTTTCGTTTTACAATACGATATTTAGCTCATAATGTACGCTCAGTTACAGACCTAATTGCCGGCAGAACAAAAATCGAGTGAAAAGCAAAAAAAACGGCTGCACGACTTCGAAAGTAATCGGACATTTTATGATATAGGCATTAAATTATTGATTAATTTTGCGATGTTCTGAAAAAAAAAAAAAAGGAAATCAAATCGATGCGAGTGTAAAATAGAGACTGATTTCACGTCCATTTTAACGTCAGCTTTAATACCCGAACTATAGGTCGTAATCCATCTTTTAATTATTACTTTACAACTACAACTAATATAGATTCTGTGTAATATAGAAAATCATTTTGCAATATTATACTATGCTGCACAATAGTTGATACACCGATATCGATGAAAATACGCTGACTATTAGTCGGAGGCGCGCGTGTCTAAAGTTTTATTAATTAAAAGAAAACAATTTAGTTTGTGCTGTGTATGTCTCGAACCCTCGTTTCCTAAGACCATGAAAATGAATTGACCTTGTAGGGAAAAAGGGCGTACATGGATTAAAAGAAAAATGCGACTCGTTTGCAGATTATATGAAATAAGGCAGCCGTTATGTGTGAAAAAAAAAATATATATATATCATAAGTGTAACCATGTGTATCCATCGCTTCATCATCGTTCGAATTGTACAAACTTGACATCGTCTAACGACGTTTACGCCCTCGTAACGTCAAGACTCGATTCGCGATTACTCGTGACACTAGAAGATCGCATCATGATAGAACCTGCGAACTGAGATTTGTAATACTTATAAATGCCGCATAATTTCTTAGACTTTCTTACGCCCCCTTAAATTTGTCTCGAAGTTTTGGTATAATTACCACAATCACACTTCTCCTTTAGCTCACTTGCATATATTGGTATCTCTACATGTAATATTAAGAATATTAGGTTACACTAGACTTAAGAGATGTGCAGCTGTAATCTTCTCGTACAGTACAATATGAAGCAGTACTACAATAAACGGTAGTCATTACAACATCGTAAATTATCGTGATAACTGATAACTAATATGTATCTGCAGTAACTAATGCGAACATTGTAACTCGAGTCTGTTGTAATAAGGGAGCTCGACCACTTGCGTGTTTACGAAAAATAACTGTATCTTTTTAGGATTATGTTAATCAAAAGAAAAAAAAAGTACAAAAGCAAAATGACATAAAAATATATAAGTTTTATGTTTAAGTCATATCTCTGGAAGAATGGTAATCTACATTCTCCGTTATTACATATTTATCGCATCATACCTTGTGCAATGCAACGCAGATTGGATTGTAAAAATAATTAATATTGTATTAATTCAAGATAGGTGATATTACTTTTATATATACATGCTATTTTAACTTATAATGTATTTCGTCACTTCCAGTAAATTTTTGCATTTGTGGTTTTGTTCGTGCCTATACTCCTTTTTTTTTCTGTAGCATTTAACGTGTACGTGTAAATCGAGAAATATAGAGATATATGTATCAAAATGTAGATAAAAAATCAGCTTTCGCTTATTTTCTAATCCCCAACATCGTAGTAGGAGCGCCGTGCGCGGTACCTGGATATCTTGGGAATGAACGTATACTCGCTCAGAAAAAAAAAACACGTCATTGTTATGAGAAATGCATCACCCTATATTTGGCAGCATATTGATTACAATATTTCAATCTTAAAAGTAACTTCAGTATAAGTAATACTTATTTTATATAATAAAAAAGGCGACGCCGACTTATTACACAATATATTGGCATCCGCTTCATCGTAGCGATCGATGGCTCGATCTTACGTAGATTATCTAAATAACGTAAAAATATGCGTACACACGTAATCGGAATACTGAAATAATACGTCCTGTAAAAGAAATCGGAAGTACAGCATTATTGTATATTTAGTGCACAGTGATGACGCACAATGAATTACGTTGGCATCAGTATAGAATATAATAAATCTTGTATTGCATTGTGTTTTGCAATTATAAAACGGGCCAGAGAATGATACTGGTGCATCGTGGTCCTATCTAGAGAATTACATGAAATAAAATGATCGTGCATAAACGAAAATAATCGTCATCGAACAAATTAATTGTAACGAGTAAATCATGTCTTCAATATAATGAACGTATAATTCTTATATCTACGATGTTATCCCCCTATTGGCTCTATTTATAGACGATAGGGAACCACTTGAATATAATCGTAATACTTGATATCTATATCTCATTTGAGAACTTCGTATATTACAAAATACGAAAAACATTCCGTACATATAAATAGAAATAGATGTATGTATATATATATATATATAATTACTTAATTTATAGAGCAATGTGTATATTGCTCTCGGTTTCTTTTGGCCTTTCAATAATTGAAATCTTACTAATATTGCAAATATTACATGAAGTACAATATATTTAATAGTTAACGTTAATTCTGAAATAAGATACTCGGTTATTAAAGTCGTTAGTAAAAGATTATTATCGTTGCGATATGGACTAAATTGGAATTTCCTTCTCTCGCACTCCCTTTCTCATTTCGGTTGTTCGTTATACAAAAATTAAAAATAACATGGGCATATATTTACTTATATACAAGTTAATATATTAAATTCTGCAGTCTCTTTATTTCGATACAATACTGTGTCAATCCATTAAGTTTTATCGACCCCTGTATGAGCTTCGTATAAGAATTCCTAGAAGATATAGATTTTTCTCGCGAAAAGAAAAATTTATATACAAAAACGGATTTCCAATCTATATAAACGTATTCGAATAGACATGAATAATAAATCTTAGTGATGTATACAAAAAGTAACTAATCTACACAATATAAAATAATATAAAAAGATTTCATCATAAGAAATAGCGTGTCCTCGAACAATCGATACACAGGAAGTATTTTTATAATTGTGCTGCTTGAGTAAGATGTCACTCGTGCAGCTGGAAAAAATTTAGGGTAAAATCTATCACGTAAAACTTGTCGAATATAAAGACGATCGTGCAGCGTGAATTCACAAATAAATATAATCTGTAAACATAAAGTCATTATCTTTAGTTGTGCCTCCGTAAAATGGGAGATGTATATGTACGTCAGCCTTTTTTGTTTTAATTCGTAATCATCCTCCGAAATCTTCTCCACAGTTCCGTTGGTTACTCCTCGGGATTTATGTATATACGCATGTATTACGATTATTGTTCTCGCGATTAAAAACTAATAACTAACATACTTGAATACTCATGCGTAGCGTACCGCACAATGATTACTAATTGTAAGTGATAAATACGAATTTCCAAAGCATTACCATTCACCTTACACTCCTCGTAACGTTCAACTCTTTAATCGAGCTCTCATAAAACCGAGACATGCGGTAAGAAAGAGGATCGGGTTTCCGCCGACTATCGAGCGATCTCACACGGAGTCGTGCGTCACTTCGTAATAATTAGATATTCCTCGCATCTTAAATATCATCGAAAATAAAATATCTTGGCCTTACAATTCTTGAAAGGTGATGCTTGTATAATAATACGTTCTGTAGTTACGTCCTTATGCCCTGCTACATGTAATTCGCTGTGTCCGACTAATTGGCGATCGACACGAAAAAAAAGATGAATCAAATACACACACACACGTTCCGCTTATTTACAATGTGTATGCATTAATGGATGCGAGTGATTCGGCAATTCTTCAAAATGGCAACGTGTAAGCTTTTGTTACCGATGACCATATACAAGTAAAACTCCATCCAATGCGGTCGACTATATGATCGAAACGTGAAGCTTGGCATAGCTTGAATAATTTTGTCTAACGATTCAATATACTTTTTGAAATGTTATCATTGTAAATCTCAAATAAATAAGTATCAAACTAACTTGCCAATCTTCAAAAAGAACAAATAATAAGGATAACGTCGACAATTAACTGGCACAATATATTTCGTTTAAAACATACAACGTTTCGACCAGTAATACTGGTTCTTATCAAGTATTAAAAATTCTTAACAACCCATTAGATGTGACAGCAAAAAATGGGTGACATTGGTAGTAATCACGAGACACGGTAGTGTCTCGCGCCAAGTGTAAGCGTAGCTAGTACACGCGTGCGAGATATAAGAATACATGGAGGAACGAATCACTCTGCACAGTAACCTATGGAGTAGATATAAAATTTTTTAAAAGACGTCAATTGTTGTGAAAGGTCGGTAGAAGACAACGAATTACTTTGTACGCTTCTATCATAAAACTGAAAGAAAAACACAAGCGATGACAAATGTTTCCCATTAGATTAGATTATTAGAGTTGGAAAATTCCTCGACAGAACAGATGCAAAATCTTCATCGAAACGATCTCCTTTAATCACCGTGTCAGCCCCGACATTTAGTAACGATACAACGGATGTCACTTTATATTTAGATCAGGAACCTACTCAGACATCTCATAATTTATCCGATGGTTTTAGAGACGACCTTTTTCTTCTTTCATATCGATCGCTCTGCACTGATCGGGCAAAGTAAATCGCAAATGTCGTAGCAAATAAATATAGCAAGACACAGGGACGTGACATTATGTTATTTCTGTTATCGTTTACTTACATCTAGAGAACTTACACGCTCTCGGTAGGGCTCTGAAATTCTGAGAGCGCGTGTATCGGATTTTGGACCTTCTTCTGCGAACCTTTACGTACTTTCGCTCTAACTTCCTCTGGTCTCTCGGGACGCACCAACGGTTTCTTCTCCGGGGCTTTCATCTTCCATATGACGATGGGAGACTAATCGAAATGTAATAAATTTGTATTATTATATGCATATAATCTATACTTTTATCAATAATTTTACGATCATATTCGAAGATTGTATTAATTAAAAGTGTTTTAACACTACTTATACATGTACACGTATAATACAATATTGAGTTTTATGAACTTTCGAATTTTCAATATTTAATAATACCGCAAAAAGGTTATTAAACAACTTCTCTCGAACTATCGCACGCTATTTATGCACGGATGGCTTGTTAGAATGGCATATACTTACATACTGAAAGTCCACATATATTAGTGTACAGCAAAAAAATATAATAAAAAAACACGATATGCAATTAATCTTATAAAATAGAAATATGCATCTAGTGTGTAGTAAAAAAATTATATCAGTATCTCTCTTTTAATATTAAGATCTAATTAGCGAAGCTAAAGGATACAGCGATAAATTGCGAAGAATCTCAAATGTGGCAAATTACTGTCTAACTGCAATAACGCCCAGGAATAGATTAGCTTAGCTCTGCTGCAGAGTTAATGAATACCGACGAGACTTACCGTTACCGTGGATTGTCGCGGGTACTTGGTTGACGCGACGTAGGAAGCCTTGACGGTGAGCACAACAGCGTTCATCAAGTTCTTGGCAGCCTGTATGAGGGAGGTTGCGCTGTCTAGGCCGGAAACAATCAGCTCGCCACTGATATTCTGCACGTCCGCCTTCACTTTGCTCGTGATATTCATCTGATGACAGTAGAGCGCTATGCGTTGCAAGTACGCAAGGAGATCCTTCTTCGTGGAACTCTCCGGGCACTGATCGGCGATCTGTCTGGTCAGCTTGTCCAGTTTCGTGCCAGCCTCGGAGATCTTCTTTGCCGCGTTTATGACGTCCATGGTCGTCTTGAGGGGGCCTCGACCGCGAGTAAAGTCCGTCATCTCCATCATGATCATGCACATGTGCTTAGCGAGAACGATGATGTCGTTGCCGGCGTCGTCCCACTTTGCCACCTCCTTGTCGAACTTGAGCTTCTCGCTTCGGAAGTACTCGACCTGCTGCAGGATCTTCTGCTTGTCCTCCTCCGGCATCTTTCTCATCGCCTCGCGGGCAGTCGTGATGCCGCTGATCTCCGGATACTCGTCCACGCCGTGTTCGCCGGTCTGAGCGCTGGACTTGCTACGTGTTTCCAACGTGTAATGCTCGTCTAACTCCACATCTTCGGGATCCAGATCTTCGTCCGCCTGAAAAACAACGAGAGAAATTAGAAACGACGAGACGAGGAGCAATTACGCAACGTCGATTACGGACGTCGCGATGGATCCTCTTACCCTGTTCATCAGCACAGCTCGCCTGATCTCGCGAACCCCGTCGTACACCAGCCTGGACGCGTCGATGAAGTCGTTCTCGTCCACTTCCTGCGCCGGATTGCTGCGCAGCGCGTTTACGGCCTCTTCTACTCGTTGCTCGAAATTTGGCATCACCTGCTTCCTGAGTACCTTCACCGCCTCGAGAACTCGCTTGGTGTAGATGCACGGCTCGTAATTGTCCATCTCGGCCTGCACGACGTTGCAGACCCTGGCGGAGCGGCCGAGTATCGCGCCCGCGTGTCTGTCCAGGGTGTCGGCGTCACCGGGTCGTACCTGCAACGCCAGGACGCACTTGTTGACGTCGTCCAGAATGTGATTCTCGGAGACCGCCAGGAAGTCGTCGATCGTGGTGATGTCGTCCACGGCCTCCGTCAAGACGCGCATCTGATTCTCCCATGCTTGGCGGAACACCTTCATGTTGTCCTTAGCGACGTCCGAGTTTCGCGCGGCCCACACGCGCGCGGCGTTTATCACCTGCGGGCAAAGATTCTCGATCTGCGCCGCAGCATAGCGAACCATCTTCACGCCGTCCTCGTTGTTGGACATACTGCACACCAAATTGGCCACCTGTTCAAAGCAAAGGTACAATTAATCTTCTTGTTACACACGAGATATTTCAAAAAAAAAAACACTCGGTAACACATGCGTATTCGAATGGACATATTTATTTTCGTATTTGTACAAGAAATTCATAAAATTCCCTCTTACCTCCACCAGTTTATTCGCGTGCTCGGTGAAGATGAGCGCGTACTCTTCCACCTCCTTGACCCAACCTTTCTCCGCAGCTTCGTACAGGGCCTGCAGCGGCGCGCTGGTCTCCAGGAAGCTGTCCGATACGTGGTCCACCACGGCCTTGCGCAGCTGCCTGCGAAGATCGCGGGTCTTCCTGCACATGTGATCTATCGCCCTCTCTAAGCCCTCAGACTGTTCCTTGACGCCCATCTGTCAACACGTATTCGTCGATTAATTCCGGGGCTGGATAAATTATTCTTGGATTTTCAATGTACAGCTGTAAACAATTGCTTAATATTCGACGTTATTGTTAGTTTAAATCCGGTTCGTATCACAGAAACAGATAATCCAGGGTGTCCAGCAAACTCAATGAAAAGAATTCCCTGACTTTTGTCAGGTTTCCCAGGAGCCGGAATTAATTTTTCCCTGACCGTTTGGTGTAACTTTTTACAAGATGCATCATTTGCGTGCATCTGTATGGTAAATCAAGTAAATGTTAAATGACGAAGTACTTGAAGCATTTTTCTCGGCAAACAGAAATCCGGAATTTAAAAAGATGAAAAATTTAAATTAAAGCAATTATACCATCTATGTATAATACAATGTGTAATAGAAACGAACATATCATTACAAACCATTTGTGATACCGTACGTAATCATATATGATGCTTTCGTCTCGCTTAACTGCATTTTGCTTGCAACTTACTAGATAGTAACTTACTTAGCTAGTACTGTTTAGTAATTCATCTTTTTTTATAGTTTTGCCTCAGTTGAACACATTGAAATAAAATAACACGACGATGAAGATATAAATTACCGACCACTTATAAATAAATTGATGTTTAGCAAAACAGAAAATTCGTGTACTGAGAGCCGAAGAAAAGATTATTTTCTAAAAACTTTATATTATTCAGAGAAAAATGTGAAACGATGTAAAAATCCAGATAAATCGTAAAACTTCCTCACTTTTCCCTGACATTGCCAGATTTCTAGAATTTCCCGACAATTCCCTGACCACTGGACACCCTGTAAACGTGTATTAAAGGACGAGGATACGTAAACCAAATCGTCAGAATAATGTTATTGATACGTGATAGATGGGAATGAGATGTCTTCTAAAAAAAATAGTATTTAATTGCATCATAATTTTTTTTAGCAACGTGACTGCGGCAAGCGGTATATTTACAAGTTTTATGTATATTTATACGCTACGAATCGTGTGCATGAATTGTATATACAGCTCAAATTTTCTACGGTTATGCCAATCCATCGTCTCGTCTATTGCATTGTATATTGCGCTTGAGTCTCTGGTTATTTTACGTAGCTACAACGTGTGACGTTAGTTATTTAATATTCGCATGTAAGAGTGAAGGAAATGAAAAAGAAATTAAAACGAATCGTAAGCACACAGCTAATAAAGAGCTAACGATTAGTGCTGGTCATTAAACAATAAGTATGCATTGGTAGTGTGTGAGAGAGAGAAAGAGATCTAAGAGTAACGTGTTTATGCGCAACAAAACCCATAGAAAATGTAGAATTACTTCGCATATTTACCCGTCTCCCACCCCGAGCGCGCTGTAACTGGCCATCACCGACAAAAACAAATCAATAGAATCAACATGGTTTCAATAAAAAGAATAAATCGCATGTCCTATACGCGTACTGCCTGGATAACAGTACGCTCTCTAGAAACTTACATGACGGAGAACTAACATTCTACGGCTTGAAGGTAGACCGAGCGGTATTATACATTTGTATTAGGTGGTAAACTTAGTTTCCGCGGCTCACATTTAGACGCTAGTTGCAAGTGTAATTTATTCTGGCATCTGAAACTGGCGGCATAAAATTCAGTGCGAAAAGATTCATTTAAGCGAGCAATGCCATTTGTTTCTCTCGATTAAACGTGGAACGTGACAAGTTGTTTTCTCGACGTGTGCTGTTTCATTACCTCGACTTGAAACTGCAACTACAGCTCATAAATTACTTGTCGAAGCTTATGGCAATTGTGCTCCATCGGAAAGAACATGCCAAGAATGGTTTCAGCGATTGCAAAGTGGTGATTTTAATGTGAATGATAAACAACGCTCAGGTCAGCCGAAAGAGCTTGACGACACCGAAGTGCAAGCATTGTTGGACGAAAACTCGGCTCAAACGCCCCAAGAATTGTCTGCAGCGTTAAATGTTACTCCGACGGCTGTTTCCAAACGTCTACATGGGAAAGATTCAAGAGGAGAGGAAGTTATTCTTTTGCGCGACAACGCTCGACCACACGTTGCAAAAGCAGTCAAGGAAACACTGATGCAGCTCGAGTGGGAAGTTCTCCCGCACCCAGCGTATTCACCAGACTTGGCTCCTTCAGATTGTCACTTGTTCCGATCAATGCAGCACGGCTTGGTGGATACACACTTCAAAAATTACGAGGATGTGCGAAAATAGATCGATGAATGGATTGCATCAAGAGACCAATCGTTCTATCGTTGCGGAGTCCACTCGTTGCCAGAAAGATGGGAAAAATGTGTAGCTAGCGAGGGCAAATACTTTGATTGGTGTATTTTTTGCTTTTGATATCGAAATTAATGAGTTTGTTAAACAAAAAACACCGCGGAAACTAAGTTTACCATCTAATATAACTAAGATAAAATACTGACAGTATCTTACTGAAGAAAGAACGTTATAATTAATGCTATAATTGTAGATTCCATATTAATCTAGCGGCTTATCGCTCAAAATTGAAGAAAAAGAAACTGCAAGAAGTAAGGCCGATATTCATAGTCAGATCTTATATTCAAGACCGCCTTGAATTCATCTAAAGATGCTGTATGGAACATTTCATCGGCTATGGAGCATCTAAAGATGATTCTAAGACGGTCTTGAATATAAGATCCGAGCATGAATACCGACCCAAGTCTACATAAGCCCAATTGTATTCAGAACCAAATTATTACTCGTATATTCGTTTATACGTGTTTACTTATATAAAAAAAAAAACGAATTCTGTCCCTTCGACAACGCGAACGCCGTATCCGCGTCGTTACGATCGCGGCTCTACTTACATTGTTCATGTATTCGCTCAGGAGGTCCTGCAGCGCCTGCCTGACCGCGTTGCACTCGGCGACGATGCGCTCTCTACGCTCGTCCCGGGTGCACGACGAATCCGCCATGAGCGCGGCACCGCTGATTATACTCTCCAGCCTCTCCTCGAGGCTCGGCCGCGTGCGGACCTCGTTGTAAGCGAGCGGCGACATCACCATCCTCTCGTCGAAGTCGTCCAGCGCGGCGGCCAGCTCGCCGGGGCCGTCGTAAGGATGCTGGTCGGGCGGCGTTTTCCCCTGAGCGACGTCGTTTATCGTGTTCACCGCCTCGCACACCTGCTTCAGCACGTAATCGCGATTCGCCTTGGCCGCCGCCAGGTCGGGATGCTGCACGTACACCTTGGACGCGGTCAGCAGCATGGTGGAGTGCTTCTTCAGGACGGCCCGGGCGGCCGCCAGATCGTCCCTGAGCTGGGGATCCTTCAGCTCGTGCTGGCGCTTGGCCGCCTGCTGAATCAGCTCGGCGGCGTTTCTGCCGAACTCCTTGATGTTCTGGATCACCTCTCCCTGCGAGGAGGCGTTCTTCAGCTTCTTCAGATCGTCCTCGACGACGTAGAGCGACTTCAATAGCAGATGGACGTCAACCATGTCCGCTAAGATGAGCAAACGCGTCACCGCCGACAGCAAGTTCCTCGCGGCGCGCACCATGTTGCCTCGTTTCAGGGACGAGCATGGATCCTCGGAAAACTCTCTGCGTAATTCCAAGTATTACATCAGCGTGGCACGACGATATAACATAATATATATATATACATTTAATTCGCAGGTGAATAGCATTACAGGAATTGTTCAAGTAAAGTTATACCTGGCAGCGATACTCATTGCTGCTCCCGTTTTCCTCACTTCCTCCACAGCGCTCAGCATCTCCGCCGTGATATCCGGATTCTCGTACGCGATCTTCTCGCCCTTCTCGATAAAATTGGTGGTGGCCTTCTCCACGGTTCCGACGAGCGCGCTCGCCCTCTTCGACTTGCCCTTCTTCTTCTTGCTGGGTCCCTTCGTGTTCACCAACGTGGTCACCTGGAGCACAAGCGGCTCCAGCGTCTTCTCCACGGACATGGTCCGTATCTCCAAGTTTTTGGGATCCCACTTCAGAGTGATCGGCCCAAAGTGATCGGACATGCTTATTCGTATTAATGTTCACTCTGCAAGTAGCAAAAATGAAGGTTTCAGTAAAACCGTGAGTGGCAGCAAAGCCTGCGAGTGCGAGACATTCCCCCCCCCCCCCACCCCCCGAGATCAATATCGCGCACCGAAGCGTCCCAATTATTTTGTATCAGCGATAAAGTCTGGCGGGCAGATCTGCGTAAAGAAAGCTAAACGGTCGTGCATTTCCTCCGGATACGAATTTTTCTCTCGTTTTAATTCGAGTCTTTTTTTATGAATTCCTCTTAGTTAATTATCTCAAATTAAATAACTCTCTTTCTCTTAGAAACAAATGCATAAACTTAATTTCATTCTATTCCACAAGCGAGTATAAATAAGAAATATCGTTAATACACAATTGGATTCGCATTAATCGTAAAGTCAGCTGAGAGAAGCGCCCAAAAATCTATCGACAACTCCGCGAATAAGAGAAGCTGATCGAAGTGTGAATTATTTTCACCGACGTATTAACTTCGATCCCGAACTTGCGTCTCTTCTCTCTCTCTCTCTCTCTCTCTCTCTCTCTCTCTCAAATTCTGAAAAGCAGAAATAATCACAGAGTTAATTTGCACCGATAGAACCGGAGATACCGCATCACGAGTTATCCTGTCAGCGCCGGTCTACAATACGTGGAGTAAGCGTGGAGTAAGGAGTAAGAGAGAGCCCCAACTTCTAGCTTTTGGTGTAAGGCAGCTGAGATACAGGCATAATTTTTAAAATATTTGTAACATTGGCTGCGTTCGGCAGGAAAAGCTGCTTTGCAACTGTTGTAAAATTCGTGAATCTGATTGGTGTGTTCTCTCAATCTTGTGTGAATTTAAGAGCATACGTCAATCAGATTCATGAATTTTACAACAGTTGCAAAGCAGCTTTTTCTGCCGAACGTAGCCACTGATTGATGGCATTTTGATTCTCCGAGAGTAAGCCCAAGAGCTGAAGTAAGAGTAAGAAATAAAATGGATTTATTTCCTTACTCCTACTCCTTACTCCAGTTTACTCCAGCTTGCTCCATGTATTGTAGACTAGCCTTCAGACGCGCGTATCGTGGATCAATGCTCCCCGGAGTTGGCGTCCACGGTCAGCGGGCGTGCGGCGGGAACTCGCGACGCTCCGGCCAGGACACGTTCGCCGCTTCGCTCCCGATACGGGTGCGACGCGGACCTCGCTGGCATCACCCTCGACAACAGCGTGTCTCCCGGCGGGAGCGCCGCGTATACGTAGGTAACCCCGGCACGTACGCGGCAGCGAAAAGGGAAAGGCGAGATAAGAAAGACACGTACGCGAGGCTCGGCCTACCTGCATGAAAAGACAGCCGAGAGGGAAAGCGGGACCGCAGACGGCTTCCACCGCTGTCAACAGGGACGAGCAATTCGCGGGCGACGCAACGACGCGAGATCGCGCGAGATCGGCCGCATTAAACGGGAGACCGCGAGACGCGATACGGTCCAACCGACGGCCCGACGAAGCACCGTGTCACCCGCCTCTATGTATCACTCCGTTGGCATTCGCCTCTTTCAGGCCCGTCTCGCCTGCGCCTCGACCCCCTGTGACGTCATTATTTCCGCTGGGCTCGGTGGGATCGGTTATACATAGACAGTTATAGAGCGCGGCTCGGTCTACGCCCGAAACCTTAAGCCGCGTTTCGACGCGGCGACGGTGTAGGCCCAACGTTCCGTTGTTCCCCCAATTTTCCCATCTGATATCTTTGGCTCTATGCGAATATAGCTTTTGCGCTGCTGAATCTTTTTATTAGTTTTTACGCCTAAAATAATATCAGGATAAGTTGCGGACCGCATAGCAGAACGTTTTTATACTTGAAACACTCGGGTCAGAAGTCTAATGAGAACGATATTGATATTTGAAATTTTCGATTTTTTAATCGTGAGCAATTTGAATTTGGCTTTATAAAATTACAAAATTCTTCCACGCGATTACAATACGCGTAAAAACAAAGCGGGGGGTTCACGACTTTATATAATATAAACGAACTTATACAAACTTTATAAAAACGAAGAGAAATTAAAAATATCGCTTTATAAGTAATTGTGGTTAGGCTTCACATGCTGATATTTTTAATTTCTCTTCGTTTTTTATATAAAGTCGTGAACCCTCCGCTTTGTTTTTACGCGTACTGTAATCGCGTGGAAGAATTTTGTAATTTTATAAAGCCAAATTCAAATTGCTCACGATTAAAAAATTGAAAATTTCAAATACCAATATCTTTCTCATTAGACTTCTGACCCGAGTGTTTCAAGTATAAAAACGTTCTGCTATGCGGTCCGCAACTTATCCTGATATTATTTTAGGCGTAAAAAGTAATAAAAAGATTCAGCAAAAACTATATTCGAATGTGTCGGTAAAACAGACGACTTTAGCATCCTCTTAAGACCAATGTCCACGATGCTAGAACTTGGACCAAGTTCTAGCATCGTGGACACAGGCCTTAAAGTGCCTAGTGCAGACTGCACGCAGCAAGCGGCAAGCGTCGAGCAGCGAGCGCTTGCTGCTTGCTGGTTGTTTCGTTGACGGTTCACATTCGTTGATTGGCTGCTGCTCGACGCTTGCCGCTTGCTGCGTGCAGTCTGCACTAGGCTTTAAAGCCTGCTA